GGAGCATTACCTGCTGGAAAATGGGTGCAGCGTCCTATGTACTGTTTCAAATATCGGCAACTTTCAGTCTTCCTGTGATCGCTCCTTCCTTGTCGCCTCAGTTCGTTTCCCCCCCTTTTTTCGGTGGGAATTTCTTTTTCAGGCTGCGGCGTCCATACGAAGCATGAGCATGCGGCGCGTGCTCGTTTCTGAAAACATATCTTCCCGCCCTTGCCACACAACATGTCATAAGCCACGGTAGACACACATTACACAGGAGCACCGGATGTGGGTCCAAGGAATCTGTGTCAGCGTGAAGGCAAGAGTGCTGCGCGAACTGCAAAGTGGAGTTACTCATCGGCTACCGGGGCAGCTAAGGGCATCGCCACACCACTCTCGAAATGTGCAAAATGAGAATGAACTTCCCTCTAGAACATGGCCAGATGCACCTGCCACATTTTCGTCTTTTTCACATTGCGAGAGTGGTGTGGCGAGGCCCTAAGCGATGGCAGGAGACCTACGTGAACCTCGAAGTGGTGTTACTCACCAGTTGCCCGGACCGGAGGGGCTGTCAAGGTGACCAGCAGACGACACTGACTTCTACATGGACCTGGACCAAGTGGAACACCACATTGATTCGGACGAGGTGGTATAGCCGCGACATGACTCTTCCTACACACAGCCCGCAGCTGCTGTTTGCCCTATATTGCTTGTTAGTGTCCTTTTGCCTCACAGTGCTGCCCAACCTCGCTCTCCTCAGTCTGAGTGAGTCCTGCTCTCGCCAAAGGCCCTAGCATCTGTCGTCATCTGCGCTTCCGTTACATGCATTGCGATCTTTCTCTTCATCTCTGCTGGAGGATCAGTCAGCCGGCGCTTTACTTTTCATGTATCTTTTCCCGAACTGAGTGTACATGGGATCCACGTCGACGGATGCTATGGCGGAGAGTAGCAGATCCAGCATGAAGCCGTCAACTTTCGCATTCCTCGGATATATCTTGCCACTGGCCTTCCTGGCCGCCTTCTTTGTTCTCGTCTCACTCCCGACTCCCAGCCAACAGCCTCCTTCAGCTTTGCATCCCTCTGCTTACCCATCTCCCTCCAGCATCAGCGCCCCCCCCCATCTCGCTCAGCCGAATTGCAAAGCGATTCACAAACCACCAGCCACTCGTCCTCCTCCTTCCCCTCCTTCCTTCCCTTCTCCCTCCTCCTCCTCCTCCTCCTCCTTTCTTCATCTCCATCACCTTCTGACCACAAAGGAAGGCGCTGTCCCCTCTGATGACGCTGCTATGTGGCTGCAGCAGAAAGGCCTCGGGGATTGCCACACCCTTCTGTGGATCTGCTGAGAGGGCCCCGCACTTCGCGCAGAATACAGGATATCGTTTCTTCTCTCCTCCTCCTTTCTTCTTTCTTCCTCCTCCTTTGTGCACCGGCTCCTCCTCTCTCCAACGCCATCTTACTTTCCCTGACCTTTTCTCTTTCCTCCACATATCCTCCTGTCACATATCTCTCAGAGCAGGGCCGACAGATCCACGGTGTGGATGCAGTTATGACCGAAGGTGGCCTCTTTTTTTTTCGGGTGAAAAAGTCCGTGTCCCTGAAGCTTTTCGAACGAATTGTATGTCTTTTTCGCACCCTTGAAGTCTCGACATACATGGTCCCTGATCTCTTCTTCTTCTTTCTTTTCATTTTCTCTTCTTCTGTTTCTTCTCCTCCTCCTTCTTCTTCTTCTTCTTCTTCGTCTTTTTGTTAAACAGAGCCTTACGGCTCTGGATCCATATCCAATTCTGGGAAGCGTCAGTCCAGTTCCTCTTCCACCAGCAAGTCAGAAATACATGGGCTGCTGGGCCGATTAAGAGATACAAACAAACTACTGCAAACTCTCATTTTTTTCTAGTTCCTATGTAATTTGCTATATGGGACGCTGGGCCCGGTTCCCAGCACGTGTTGCTCCCCACGAATAGATTGGAGCTTTGCTTCTTCTATAAAAAATAAAAATAAAAATAAAATTACAACTTACCCTTCCTCCAACACTTCTCCCCTTTATGGTAGGGAGACCCGAGTGGGCGGCATTGATTACTTCCGGTCCGGAAGACCCGAGTGGGGGCGGCATTCATTACTTCCGGTCCGGAAGGATGTACCTCCCCTCACCCCTGCCTAAGTTAGCCTATAACTACTGAACCAATGCTACCTGTATGATACTGCTAACTACTTGAACTACTCTTCAAAAAAAAATAAATTAAAAAAAAAAAGAATGTTGTTTGGTTTGCTTGTGTGCCTGTAGTTCTCTAGTGTTGTCAGCCTGTCATGCATCCCTAGTCCCTCACTAAGATGTTCTCCCGCGAACTCGGCTCTCTAAGCTTTGCTGTCTTTTTTTTTACCCTGTGATGTGTGTAACCCTGGCTACCATCTTCACCCGAATAGAATGCCCAGTCATTATCGCTGTATCTAGACGGAAAGCTGCTCCGAATACAGCTATAATGACCGGGCGTTCTATTCGGGTGAAGACGGTAGCCTTCTTGTGCTCTCTGTTTTCCCTATGACCTCACCCTCTTGTGTGATCCTGCTTTGGCCTCTGTCCAGTCCCTGATCTCTTCTCAAAACAAGTCAGCTTACAAATGCTTCTTCTCTGCACCTTTGCAGATTCTTCTCTGCACTTTATACTTTCGCACATCTCTCGATCGTTATGATAAGCATGACTTTTTTTCTCGAGAAAGGATAGACCGTACGCCCATGCGCTGTTAAAAAGCAGACTTGAGCTCCAGTCCAGATACTATCAGATGAACAGAACAAAGATAGGCCGTAGAGTATCGCATTCTCAATGAATGCGACTCGCCTAAGGCCCTGCTTAAAACCATCTTCTACGGATTACCTTCGCTCTGTGGTAAAAGTGGCACGGTTGTGACGTCACGTACCAAGTTCCGCCAACACAAGGCCGAATCTTGCTCTGGAAGAACAGCCAATGTGGATGAACGAAGCACAAGTCTTTTTCGACTCACTTCATGTCAGTTCACGCGGTTACCCCCCTTTTTTCTCTTCACTAACTGACGTCAACCCATCGCATGTTACCTCCATTGGCAGGAACAACACGCGATAACTGGCCGAGGTTTTAACATTACAGCAGAAGATATGAGGATGGTTTGACAGAATATTTTATCACTCTCTGCTCTCACTCGTAAAAGATGGAATGATTTTATTTGCTACTAATCTACTCGCAATCTCTGAAAAAAAGCTCCCGTGCAATCATAAAAGATGGGATGATATTTAATTGACTACTGATCTACTAGCCATCTCTGGATGAAGCTCTGGTGCAACCTAGTCCTACGGTTCCTTTGCATGTGAAGCTGTTGTTTGAAAAATCACGAAATGCTTGATTTGCACCTTTTTTCCGATGCTGCTTAGCCATGAGGAAGTCCCATACCGTACCTGCGCGGGTATGGGGAGGAAGACGTGCCCGTGAAAACTATTCACCGGAGCTTAGCATGGCGGAACTCACCGTGGCGTGCCTGCGTGCACACACACACACACACACACACACACACACACACACACACACACACACACACACACACTCTGTTACATGCTGCGCCTGCAAACGAGGGCCATTTTCAGGCCCTGTGTCATTTCAGCCTGAAAGCCTGAAAACAAGGGCCTACAGGCCCTGTGTCGTTTCAGCCTAAAAAGGGCCCTCCAGGCCCTGAGTCTTTTCAGCCTGAAACGGAGGGCCATTTTCAGGCCCTCATAAGATCGACCTGCCCTGAAACTCAGGCACCAGACCAGGGTTTTAGCACAGACCATTTTGGGCCTGTTTTCAAGACAACCTTTGTTTGAGCTTCAACGCCAGGGTCTGGCATGTTTGGCATTGGCAAGAGCAGCCTCCTGGACGGGCCAGCACTATATAAGACTGGCCTGCCCTGCAGGCTGCAGGTAGTTCATAGGGACTTCCCAGGTACTTCACGTGCAGTTCAGGAGGCAGGAGGTAGTCTTCAGGATTCGGCAGCAGCA